TTATTAGTTTTCAAAAGACTTTTATATTTTCTGTACCAATAATTTGCACTCTGAATATCTCTCTTTGTACCGATACCATTTCGATAAAATCGAGAAATACTACTCATTGCTACTTTAACACCTATATTAGAGATTTTTTAAAGTATTCAAATCTTTATTATAGTCTTGATCAACCCCTTTCCGTAATAATAATGTCTACCAACTTTTAATAATCCAAAAGCATTATCCAAATCAGCCGATCTTTTACAATATTCAAATGATTTTTGGTAATTTATTTCAACTCCAATTTCATAATAATAATAAATGCTAACATCATTCATCGCAGTCGAATTTCCTAACTCAGCTGCTTCCTTATAATATTCAAAAGCCTTCTTTTCGTCTTTCTCAACCAATACCATATTGGTAATTGTAACCAAGGTGACGAAGTTGTTTAGAGTCCGTTTTTTTTCAAAAGGAAAATAAACATTCATTAAAAAAGTACAACCTTTAATTGTCTAGAGTAACGTAGGTCATTTAATGTTTACCAAAGTGATACAAAAGTTACATCAATAGTTACGTTTCTGATTAGTTCATTGGTTGACTTATATTGTTGTATCTAAAACGTAAATTTAAAACTTTACCTTTCTGTCCGTGTATTTATATTCATGTTGTTACACTCGAAGTCGACCTCTAAGAACAACTCCAAGGAACTAGAAGCTAGTCTATCTCAGACTATCTCTTCGTACGTTATGCAGGCAAATTTGCCTGCAAAATTTGATTTTTGTACAATTGCTCCCAAATATATTTAATCCAATTTGGTTAGATTTGAACGATATTATCTTAAGGTATTTATTTGTATACAACGTGTTAATGATCATCAAATACTAACCGAAAGTTGCACTTATCGTGTATTACTGCGCCACACATTTGTCGATCGAACTTAAAAAAGAGTTTTATCGAATATATCGATATGTATATATATAGTTTTTTTTTGAAACTAGTATATACAAGATTATTACTTTCACGTTTTGTTCTCAAAAGGCAAGTGTTTTGTTGTTTTTTTAAGTCATAAATGCTTATTATTTAACGACGTTATTCATTTTTATTAAAAATATTAATCAAAAGTACGCCATCCGGCGTCCCCTAGAGGGGGTTTAAAAAAAAAATATATTAATCGTGTTTAAAAAAAATTACAGCTTTTTTTTTTCCCATGAATGAATATGTACCAGACGGTATAAATAATATAGTTTATGTTCCGTGTTTAGATGATTTTTATTGTAAAGCGAAAGCTCTTGTTAATTTAAATAAATAATTCAATTTTAACTGACTTACGTACTACTTACATAGTGAAATTTACAAATATTTGAGTGTAAGATTGGACTATAAATTACACTTAGTTTAAAATTAGTAATTTATATTCTAAACGAATATTTATTTTTTTAGCTTATTTACAATGGAAAAAGATGACGAACTACCTGCTAATTTGATAGACCCCAACGATGTTTTATTTTTTTCTCGAACACAAGTTTCTTTAGTAGATGAAGTGTTTGAAGACAGTGATGATGATAACAGTACTGAGATTGCAGAATTAGCTAATGAGATAGATACGATTAACCTGAATAGTGAAGAGGTTGAGTTTAATACTGCAAGAGCATTACAAGTAAATGAAGAAAAAATTAGAGGTAGAGGGAGAGGAAGGGGGCGTAGAAGCAGAAAAGGAGGAAGTAGTATAGTTTCAGAAAGAAAAGCTCAAATATCTGTTCAATTACCTGTACCTCCTAATTTTAATTATCTAAAACATAATATACCGTTTCATCAAGGTTTTATTAGATTGCCACCCGAGTTTCCTGACAATAATATTTCCCCATATGGATTAATTAGATTATTTTTTCCCCGATCTATTCTTACTACAATTCTAACAAATACCAATGAATACGCACAGTCAAAAAATGCTGGTATTGTTGGACATCATTGGTCTCCATTAATATTAGACGAATTAAAAATTTGGCTAGGTATCGTTATATATATGGGTGTAATTAAGTTACCAAGAGTAACAGATTATTGGTCAGTCGATTTTAAGTATCCTAAACATAATATTACTCAAATGATGTCAATAATTCATTTTCAACAAATTAAGCGTTACTTACATATTTCAAGTATTAGCTCTGAAAAGCTTTATTGGTTTGATAAAATTGAACCACTTTCATCACATATCCAAAAAATTAGCAAGCAAATTTATGTACCTGGTTCGCATGTTGCAATTGATGAAATGATACGGTTTTCTGGACATAGTAAACATACGTTTAGAATGAAAAACAAACCTATTTCTAAAGGATATAAGGTTATTTTCTTGTGTGAAAAGGGTTACACATATTTATTTACATATGAATCCCATATTGAAGCAAACAAAGAAGTTTCAAACATTTTCGGTCTTAATAAAACTGGATCTCTTGCATTATATCTTGTTACTCAATTATCTAATAGTCATACATATAATATATATATGGACAACTATTTGCAAGCATACCCCTTTTTAATTATTTGTGAATAAAAGGATATGGTGCTTGTGGTATGGTGCGAACCAACTCTGCACAATTTCCTAAGGAATTAAAAGTTGAAAAATCGATTCGGCTAAACTGGGATATTTTATCTGGTGTAGTTGTTAATAATGTTTTGGCAATTTTTTGGATGGACAACAGACCTGTTCATATGCTTTCAACTATTCATGGCATCAAAGGTAATGAGTGGAAAGTGTTAAGTTTACGTCAACATCTACGAGAAACAAGCTCAAATGTGAGTAATGTGCAAAAAGTTTTTGGTAATGAAGTTCACAAGGAAATTTTAATTCCAAAAGCCATTAATGATTATAATCATTTTATGAATGCTGTAGACATTGCTAGCCAATTTCGCTCATATTATAACTGTCAACTTACTGCTTTATGTATTTGGATGCCTCTACTATTTTGGTTAATTAACACGGCTATTGTAAACTCATATATCATTTATCAAAAAAATGGAAATTATTGGTTTTTTTTTACAAGCCTTGATATTTTCTATTTACTATTATATATTTATACTAATTAAACTTATTTTAACAGGTGGAACTCTTGCTTATCGGGAATTTAGATTGCAACTAGCATGGGATTTTATTAATGACGCATTAAGTACTAAACGACCAACTGCTAATAAACAACATGTAACTGAAAATTGGGCTCCTATAGTAAGTAAAAATTTTAAACTTCCAACCATTCGCCTTTCTGGTTCAAATAATTATCCAGAATAGAGAGATGACCGTGCAGCCTGTGTATGGTGTCCGTGGGAAGCTAAAAATGGTAACCAAAAAATAAATAAAAAAAATCCACCACAAAGTAATATTTGGTGTAAAAAATGTAATGTTGCTCTTTGCTGCAACAATTCTCATTCATGTTTTGAAGAATATCATATATACGATGAAAAATAAAATATTAATATTTTAACATGTTTATTATACAAATTATTAGAAGTACAAACCTTGAATTAAATATTATTATCTTGTACGTACATATGTATCTTGCATATATTTGTAATATGCATTTGGTGAATATATTTTAGATATAAATACTGAATTTTAAATATAAATATAATGTTAAATGTTCTATTCTAATTATATTAAACTAATTATGGCCAATTATGATTCGAAAGTAAAGTTTTAAAAATTTTATTTAAAATTTTAATTTTTTTAAAAAAAATAATTATAATTTTTAAAATCTCTAAACCCGTATTGTTAATCTTATTTAAATTATTGTACAAAATGTTCTTCGGGTTTAAATTAAGTTAGGACTAACTTTTATAATAATATATAACTTTTTTTTATAAAAATTATTTAAATTATTAATTTATTGTTAATTACGATTTATACATTTTAATACTAAATATATAAACCTTCTTAATTTAGTCTTAAATAATTTTTTTTAAATAATTTTAAAATTGCCATATTTAATAAAGCTTAAAATAAAAATTTAGCAATAACATTAGGGAGCATATATAATAAAAAAACTTAAAAAATTAAAAAAATATATTTATTTAACTATAATTTGTACAAATTAATCAATTTTAGATGAGCAAAAATTATTTTAAATATAAATAATTTTTTATATTTTATAACTTTAAAAAAGAAATATAATCTATAAGTATTGAGTTGTCATCCTCCAAGTAGCAAGATCTAGGATTCGAATCCTACCGGTGATGAAATTTTGAAAACTACTCCTTGTATATCCCTTCTGGATATATCAACTTGATCTGTAGTGGCGTTGACGCTGTAACCATGTGGTGAAATACCAATTATTGGAAGTACTACTTAATTGTAGTAGAATCTTCAAGACCATCGAACTGACCAAAAAACTACTTGCAAATCCCGAGTATGGTGTTAAATTTGAAAAAAGGATGAAGAATAAAGTATTGGGACTCCTTGAAAAATAGTCTGGAGTAAGAATTGAAGGAATACAACTTGCTTAAATGCGGTGTAAATATAAGATAAATCCATATAAGAGTTAGGATAGACATATAAAGTAGGATTATATAGTTTAACCATTAACTGTATATAGCAATATGTACTTCACCAAAAACTGTTTGAAACACAAACACAAACACAAATACTAGTCTTTTACATGTCTAAGATTCGAGGATAAGACATTAAAAACTTGGTAACCAGGTTGGGGTGGTCCTCAAAATAATCAGCCACCCCTGATACCCGGAAGGGATAGAATTAAACGACTCTCTAACGTCTAACCTGATTGTTGCTAACTCTTGTGGAACCGTGCAAGCTGGGTATACGGTGACTGACGTAGAAGACTATTCTTATGTGGTATCATCTCAAACATCTTTAAACCTCTATGATCCACATACTATACTAAATACCAACAACGACAACCAACTTTCTGACTCATCATACTCATCATATGAAGTTATATCAGAAGAAGAATATAATAGTGAAGATTACCATGTACCAAACCACTTTCCTTATGAAACAATTACTCAAGTAACAGAAATGCTTGGAACTGTAGACCTTCTTACATGCTATAATAAATTTCTCTTTTATTATAAACTACCTCCACTTCAATATCCACAAACAATTACCACCTTTTTACACTATATTTTCCTTCATACTATTCACCTTATTATATTAGAATCTCTATTTTTAACAAAAAAGACAAAGATAACAACTATGAAGAAGCTCACATATACTTATCTAATGAAACCTGCTTACTTCCAAATCATTTTATTCCTCCCTTTCGAGATCTACTTAGTTGGTTCAGATATATTCCTCTTAAATCAAATACATAAACTACTCACTCACCTTCCCCTCTTAACCTCTCTATTTGTACGCATAATATTCAAAGGCTCAACAAATCCTTAAACAGCAAGTCTGGGAACATTACTGTCTCTCCAATAATCTCGATATTATCTGCTTAACCAAAACCAAGCTTGCTAGCAATAGTCTTACCCTCAAACCCCTTAAAATATCACACTATACTTATTTTCAATCCTGTACAGATAGCTCAAAAGCTAGCATCTCTATTATGATACGCAACTCCCTAACCCCTCACATACACAATACTAAATCTGTTCCAGGCTATGCTATCTCAATCGATCTTTTCTTTAAACATAACTTTAAATTTCGTATCATCTCAACATACCTTCCTTGTGACAATAGCTCAAACAGACTTCAAACTCAGAATACAATCATCCAATGGATACAAGATGCTTATACTCTTAATATACTCCCTATAGTACTTGGAGACTTCAATGCCTCTACCAATAACATTCACTCCTCTTCTATCAAATACAAACTTCTTCAATTTCTTACATACAATAATATGTACAATCTCTCCTTACACACCTCCTTATCTGCCCCTACATGGCACAATTCTAGATCTAGCAGTGAAATCGATTTCATTTGGGCCTGTCATACTATCCTAACTTACCTTAATTCCTTTACTATTGATGATACAGATACTAACTCACAGAGCGACTATAAAATTCTTATTTCTTGCTGGTCTTTCCCATATGCTCTGCAGGGTCAACGCAGACATAAAACATGCACTCACAGAAGGGTCTTTAACTTCAAGGCTATAAACGAAACAAAATGGGAAGAACTCTCAAACCAAGTTAGCACCAATTTCGACTCTCACTACACACCTTCCTTAATTTTCACCCCAGAATCTCTTGAAACTACCTGGCATAAAATTCATACTAGTATAATCACAGCTGCCCTAAAACATATTTCCAACAAAAAATTTACTGTTCGTAATTTTCAACATATATTTTCTTCCAAGGCTACTCATTTATACTCAAATCTTAAAAAACTTGAAAATATCATTCATCAAACAAAACATGCTCTAAAACACCAATCACCTATCCCTTATCACCTTAATAACTCTATTTCTTTACTTAATCAAGCTTCTTAATTACATATTCCTCAACTTCTCAGTTTACACCAACTCCTTACTTCTTGGATTACTGATGCTAACTTAGAGTAAAAAAATCTCTTCAATGCTCGTAATATGAAAAACATTAAAGAAATTAGACAACAAATTTCTGATGCCATTAACAAAAGATGTTCTAAACTCCAAACTCACCCTATCTCTATGATTAATAGCATCCTCAATTGTCACAAAGATCTAGTTAAATTTAATAACATCCAATTAGATAATGACATTATCAGTGACCCTTCAACTATCAAATCCTATATTCAAAATCACTTTGATAACTGGACTGCTCCTCGACACATTAACTCAGATATCTTTAACTCTAAATGGCAAACAGAATATAACTCCAAACCCAATATTAATCCCGCATGGTATTCCAACACTCTTTCCAACTTTACTGAGGCTAAAGTTATATCAACTATCAATCAACTTCCTAACAACAAAGCCTGTGGCCCATCAGGTATAAGCTATAAAATGTTAAAACATGCTGGCTCCAACTTTATCACTACTATAACTTCCTTTTTCAACCGTTGCCTCCTTTCTCAAACTATACCCAAACAATG